CAGCAGGCTGTGGGCAGCGGAGTCTGGAGGACTCGAAAGCTATACGAGGGTATTTTACTGCATGAGGGGCTGAAGCCCTAAACCCCACCCTGATCCAGGGTCAGCTGTACAAAAATCACTTCTGTGCACACGTCGCTGAATTCCACCGAATGTGGATTAGGTTTTGACCAAAAAAAGTGGCTCATGCTCTGAGGACCATACCCAAATACAGCTGGTAAGAGAACAGTGAGCTGGGTCAGTGTGATGGGATAGTTAATTTTTTTTTTTTTTTTTTTGAGAGGGAGTCTTGCTCTGTCACCCAGGCCACAGGCGAGGTCCAAGGGGCAGCGGAGGTCCCTGACCACTTCCAACAGGACAGCCATGGTACACCCAGCACTCAGGCAGCGAACCCCACACAGCACCCCTCTCCGCAGCGTACAGGCCTGACCAGCGTGATGGCACGGCATGTACACACCTGTGCGGACGCCGCCAGCGCACACGCACACCACCCCTGCAGCCACAAGCCTCGGCCCAGCCCACCTGCAGGCTCCAGGGCTCTGGCTGGAACCCCCTCAGCGCACCCACCCTCAGAGGAACTCAAAAGCACACCCGGCAAGTCAGAGGCAGACACGGGCCAGTCCCTGTCCTCATGCTGGTACCATCCTGGGAACTGACCGCAGGCAGAGCCTGGGCAGCGGCGCCAGCCGCCCGGCCCCAGGACCACTGGAGCAGAAGCCCGAGGGGCACAGCCGCCGCAGACGGGACAAGCCCTCACACACTTGCCATCTTTCTTGGGGACGGAGGTCAGATGGGAAGGGGCAGAGGTCATTGCAGATAACATGAGCATCCTGGAGTCACCGGGGAAACAAAGTCCCTAAGGAGGGCAGGTCCCGCCGGCAACACGGCCCACAGCACCATGGCCAAGGGGGCAGGACTGGCCATGAGGCCTCACAGGCGGGGACTCTGTCCACGAATCCAGACCAGGACTTGGGGTGCCTCACTCCAGAGGGTGAAAGTTTTCAGATAATTGAAGGATTACCTTGAAGCACAACTTTCTTCAAGGATCCAAAGGGCAATCACGCATCAACGAAACATCGCTGGAGACAACAAAAAACCTCTTAGATTTCCTCTGCCTTTTACACAGCGACAGGGCTGGGCGCAGGGGCTCACGCCTATAATCCCAGCTATGTGGGAGGCTGAAGCGGGTGGATCACCTGAGGTCAGGAGTTCAAGACCAGCTTGGCCAACATGGAGAAACCCAGTCTCTAGTAAAAATACAAAAACTAGTCGGGCGTGGTGGCGCTTCCCAGCTACTCAGGAGGCTGATGTGGGACAATCGCTTGAACGCAAAAGGCAGAGGTGGCAGTGAGCCAAGATGGCGCCACTGCACTCCAGCCTGGGCTACAGAATGAGACTCCGCCTCAAAAAAATAAATAAATAGGCCAGGCGCGGTGGCTCACAAGGTCAGTAGTTTGAGACCAGCCTGACCAACATGGTGAAACCTCGTCTTTACTAAAACAATACAAAAAAATTAGCCAGGAGTGGTGGTGCACGTCATCTCAGATACTCAGGAGGTTGAGGCAGGAGAATCGCTTGAACCCAGGAGGCAGAGGTTGCAGTGAGCTGAGATCTTGCCACTGCATTCCAGCCTGGGCAACAGAACGAGACTCCATCTCAAAATAAATAAATGAATAAATAGTGATGGGCCCGCCCTGGTCTGGGACCCCCGAGCCTCATTCTGGTGGTCCTAGCCCCTCACTTTGAGCCCTCGCTGAGGTGGCACAAAGGGAAACGCCCCACCCCGCCAGGCTAGTCCAGTTCCTGGACAGACCCATCCAGCAGACGGCTGCATCCACGTGCCAGTCACAGGGACAGCACAGTCCCCTGGACCCACAGCCGGTAGAGAGGATGGGGAAGGTGGTGAGGCCCATCCTCTGCCCGCAGGGCCACTACCCCTCGCTGTCACTGCTCCCACTGGCACAGCGGGTAACCAGAGGAGCACAGGTGTGGGAGTCAGTAACCACCACTTCCTCCTCTACCCAAGGAGGCCAAGTAGGCCTCGACTTCCTCATCTGTAAAATGGGCGCTCCACCCACTTCCCAGGAAGCCCCACAGCACCGGCCCCACGAGAACTCCAGAATGAGGAAGAGGCCGACGCGGAGCCTCCCAACCTGGGGAGCCTCCAGACTGCAGGCCTCACTCAGATGGCCTTGTCCAGAGGCCGCCAACCAACAGGTTCTCTCGCGTGGCTGCCAGCGGAACATCCGCAGATCTGTGGGGTGGGGGAGGCGGACCTGGCATGCCTGACACCAGAGCTCAATCCAGTACGCACGCAGCCACTGAGCCCTAGCTGGACACGGGACTTGAGGCTGACCTGAGGATAAAGCCCACAGCTGCCCGCCACCACCGGGACACTAACCAGGACTCGGGCCAGGGCCTCCTTCACATGGGCCCTGTGTCCTCTGGGTTCAGAGAAAGTCAGCCAGCCCCGCACGCCGGCCTGCCCACTGCCACCCGAGGCCCGCAGCCCCTGCCAGTCTGTGACCGGCCCTGGGCCTCAACAGCACCCAGAGCGCTGCCTCCACCCACCACCTGCCCTCCGCCAGGCCTCAGTCAAGGCCTTGACGGACCATGAGCCCCCAGGGGCCTGGGGCAGCTCGATGGGGATGCAGAAAATAGGCAACATCACTCCAGATACCCCAGGGCAACCCGGACTGTCCCTAAGCTCAGCTTCGGTCTGTCCCAGTGGCTCTGAAGACACATCTGCTGGGGGGCTAGGGCCTGCCTCTCAGGCGTGCACTGACCCCCCCCACCAGTCCCCACAGACACAGTGCCCCCCCACCGTGCCTGGCACACCAACAGGACTACTCCAATCCCCAAATTAATGGCTGGGGTACTGGCTTCCCCTAAGCTTGGGATGAGCAACAGGAACTTTCAATTAAAAAAACCCTCACCTACTTCCTTTGTAGCCCAGAGTAATTACTGTATCATTAAAAAGGAGGGGAAGAAAAAAAGAAGAAACCCGAATCAGCAATTCCACAAAATCCATCCGCACCAAGTGCTGCACCATCGCAGGCCGTCCTGCAAACGGCCTGGCTCCCAGACCTGCCCAGAGTCCAGGCAATGAGGTGCTGGTCCCTCATCCTCTTCAGAGGAACTAGACAGGATCAAATCAGACAGGAAGCCCCTTTACACACAAGGAGGTCCGACCGCACTGCAGGCATAGTAAATGCACACACTACAGACCAGTTGGGGTTTTGCCTCCCACCGGGGTGAAAGGAGCAGAGACAGCTCCTCTGACATCTCACCCCATTTGCCCGCCTCACAGTCCTGCAGAACATACGGCTGGCCTCTCACCCCCAGACCTGGCCCTTCCACTGGGACCCTGTCCAGACCCCGCTCCCCTGCATGCAGGTCTCCAGTTCCCTCCCATCTGTGCAGGAGCGGCTCTCAGAGCTCACCGTGGGGGGCTGAGCAAAACACTCGGGGCCCTAGAGACGTCAAGGCAGGCGTGCGCGTGCCTGCACACACTCCCGGGGACTGCGTGCCTGGGAAACTCATCAGTCAGCCCGGCCCAGAGCGTTTCGTTTTGGTGGAGACACAGGAGAAAACAAAACAAAGTACCGGTGACAACCGAGAACTTCCCCCTTTCAAACCTGGGGGCCCTGGCACACAGTCTGTCCTCTGCACAGAGGCACCCCAGGCTGGGCCAGGCTGTGCAGGGCAGAGTAGCCCGGGGTGCTTCCATCCCCAGCTGCCACCCAACCCCCAGTCCCCTCCCTAATCCGAGCTCCTTGCCGCGGCGGGACGCCTGGGTTTTCCCTCCAGATGGGAGCCTTTGTACCTTCCTGCTCAGCTCCCACACCCACGAACTACCAGAGCTCCAGCACGTCCTGGGGTGGGGAGGCAGAGCCCTACCACATGGCCGTGTGGACGGCCCCGGAGCCCTGGGCCACACGGTGGAGCATAACGGGGAGAAGATGCTGGACTCCACCTACACAGACAACCCTCCGGCCCGCTTCCTACAAACAATGCCATCCGGAGGCCACAGGAATAAGAACCAGATGTCCCAAAGCCATTCTGGCTCAAGACGCAACAGTCCCCGAATGTCCTCTCAGCCCCCACGCCCCCCAACGGGAAAGTCTTCCCCTAAGAAAGTTGGGAGAGAGAAGCCAGGCGGGGATCGGGGATCGGTGAGGCCACCGCAGGCCCTGTTCAGACATCTCACCCTCCCTCCCCGATCCGTGCGTTTCCGGAAAACAAAGCCGGTGGCCACAGCGGAAGGGGGAGGGGGCAGCGAGCCCAGCCGGGAGTTCCCAGGCAGTGCCGCAACAGGTCCCTGCGGATCAGACCACCTTCCTCTCCCCACCATTCCCCTGCTCTCCCCCCTGAAGAGCTTTAGGACCACAAAGTGAGGACTGGGACACAGCTGCGTGGGGAGGGGCCAGGCCAAGACAGGAGTAGGCAATGGGGCCAGGTGGGCAGGGGCCTGCGGACCAGAACGCGGGGAGGCATAAGGGACACGGGTGAGTGGGCGGTGGGCTTGAGCCCTGGGTGGGGGAAGAAAGTGGGAGGTGGGGTGGGGACTAAAAGCTCAGCGGAGGGCAGGGGAGTTGGAGCACGGCAGTCACCAGGGTGCACAGTGGGGAGTCACTGGAGCGGCGGGGGCAGGGTCTGGAGTGTGAGGGTCACTGGGGCGGCAGACTCCTGAGTGTGGAGGTCAGCGTGGGGCTGTGTCTGGAGGTCCTGAGCGCGGGTTCAGCGGGGTGGGGGGCGCTGGGGTCCCGAGTGAAGGGTCAGCGAGGTGTTCCGGTGGTGGGGTCCTGAGTGGGGGGGGGGCAGCGGGGGGGGGGGGGTAGGAGGGGGGGGGGGGCGCTCGGGTCGCGGGCGCGGGGTGGGCGGGGCGGGGGGGGGGGGCAGTGAACCCTGAGTGTAGGGGCGGGGGCGCCAGGGGTCACTGGGGGGGCCGACCGCCAGGGTGCAGGGGGTGTGGGGGCCAGTGCGGGCGCGCGCGTCGTTACCTTGGCTCCGCCGTGGCCGGGCCCGCGGGCAGCGTCTGGGCGGCCGGCCCGGCTTCAGCAGCGCAGCGCGGACCCCCGCTCCGGACCCCGCGCCCGCTTGCGCTCCGGCTCCGGTGCCCGCTCGGGCCCCCGCTCCGGCTCCCGCGCCGCCTGGGCCGGCCTCCGCATGTTCGGGACTGGAGGCGCCGGGCTCGCCGCGCTCCGCCGCGCCCGCTCCCGGGCCCGCGCGCCTTACGCCGCCAGCGTCGGCCAGCGGGGGGCGGCGGCCATACGCGCCCCACTGCGCAGCCGCGGCGCCGGGGGCGCGCGCCGCAGACGTCACAGCGCAGGGCGGGCCAACGCCCGGCCGGGCGTCTCTCGCGCCGCTTTGCGACAACGGATGGCGCCGCGCGACGGCCACCGCGCTTTGCGGCCGCTACGAGGCCTCTGGCCCGCTGACCGCGGGGGACACCGAAAGCCCGTGGCCGCGGGGGCGCGCGCGGGCAGCGAAGGGAGTCGAACGGTTTCCACACCCTCCCGGGGGCGGAGCTTCCGCCGCCCGCCCCTCCCCGCCCGCTGTTGCCATGGCGACGCGTGGCTGGTCGTCCTGGCACCGCCCGCCGCCTTGTGTGTTACGTCACAGTCTCGCCACCTGACGTCACGGACGGGCGGCGCCGCGGGGCGTTTCGTGCGTGGGGCGGTGGCGGGCGAGGCGCAGGAGGCGGCGGGTTGCGCGCGCGAGGCCGCGAGGTTTCCGGGGCAGGCGCTGGAAGAGGCGGCTAGCCAGGAAATGAGCTGGTTAAGGGCAAGAGGGTTTTTCCATCTGACTTTCCTGAGCCAGAAGGGGAAAAAGTTCTAGAATAACTGCTCCGTGTCCAGGCGGAGAAAAGCGGTGGCCTGGGTGCCCCGGTGTCCTCCTCCACCGTGACATCAGCAAGGAGCAGAGAGGAAGTGGCCCCGGGCCTGCGGCCGGCAGCTGGTCAAGTGCACTGCGGGGTCTATGGTGCCTTGCACGGGCCGCTCCCCTGGGGCTCTGCGCGTGGAGCCGACTCTGCTTACGCTGCCTGCCTTCCGGCCTGCACCGAGCAAGAAACGTGGGGAGGGGACCCACAGGCCAAGGCCCCGCACACTAGTGAGACCCTGTTCCACCCCATGACAGGGCCTGGAAGTGAACGGGCAGCTGCAGAAGTGGTTTCCGGCCTCCCCACATCTCGCACGCACCTCCCGGTGGGGGCATTTTTAAAGTCGGAGGAGACACATTCATTCAAATATGTATTAAGTGCCTGCCAGTGGCTCTCAGAATAGAACAGTGAGCTAGACTCTTGGCATCGTTTCCTAGGGAGCCCTTGGTTCTAGGGGAAGGAGAGAGCCCTATGTGGTGATTTCAGATGACGTTATAAGGTGGGGTGTGGGGTGGGCGCGGAGGCTCATGCCTGTAATGCCAGCGCTTTGTGAGGCTGAGGGAGGAGGAGGCTTGGTTGAGCCCAGGAGTTCAAGACCAGCCTAAGTAACAGAGACCCTGTCTCTACAAAAAATAAAATGAGCGGAACGTGGTGATGCATGCCTGTGGCCCCAGCTACTTGGGAGCCTGAGGCAGGAGGATTGCATTGGCCAGGACATCGAGGCTGCAGTGGGCTGTGATGGCACCACTGCACTCTAGCCTGCCTGACAGAGCAAGACTGCCTTAAAAAATAGTAAGGCCAAGGCCGGGCGCGGTGGCTCACGCCTGTAATCCCAGCACTTTGGGAGGGCGAGGTAGGTGGATCACCTGAGGTCAGAAATTGGAGACAGCCTGACAAACATGGAGAAACCCCTTCTCTACTAAAAATACAAAAATTAGGCGAGTGTGGTGGTAGGGAACTGTAATGCCAACTAGTCTGGAGGCTGAGGCAGGAGAATCGCTTGAACCTGGTAGGCGGAGGTTGCAGTGAGCCGAGATTGCACCACTGCACTCCAGCCTGGGCAACAGAGCGAGACTCCATCTCAAAAATATATATATATGTGTGTGTGTGTGTGTGTGTGTGTGTGTGTGTGTGTGTGTGTATATATAAAAAAACAACAAATGAAATCCCAGCACTTTGGGAGGCTGAGGCAGGTGCATCACTTGAGCCCAGGAGTTGGATATATATAAAAAAACAACAAATGAAATCCCAGCACTTTGGGAGGCTGAGGCAGGTGCATCACTTGAGCCCAGGAGTTGGAGACTAGCCTGGGCAACATGGCAAAACCCTGTCTCTACTAAAAATACAAAAATTAGCCAGCAGTGGTGGCGGGTGCCTGTAATCCCAGCTACTGGGGAGGCTGAGGCTGGAGAATCACTTGAACCTAGGAGGTGGAGGCTGCACTGAGCCAGGATCAAGACTCCGTCTCAAAAAAAAAAAAAAAAAATAGCTGTGATTGAGCCGCTGTACTCCAACTTGGGCGATAAAGCCAGACTGCGTCTCAAAAAAGTAATTTTTTTTTTTTTTTTGAGACAGTCTTGCTCTGTCACCCAAGCTGGAGTGCAGTGGCACAATCTTGGCTCACTGCAACCTCCGCCTCCTGGGTTCAAGCAATTCTGCCTCAACCTCCTGAGTAGCTGGGATTACAGGTGCCCACCACAGTGCCTGACTAATTTTTGTATTTTTAGTAGTGTAGGCCAGGCTGATCTTGAACTCCTGACCTCAAGTGATCCTCCCGCCTCACCCTCCCAAAGTGCTGGGATTACAGGTGTGAGCCGTCATGCCCAACCATTAATAAGAATTTTTTTAAAATAAGATGCTACGCCAGGCACGGTGGATCACGCCTGTAATTCCAGCACTTTAGGAAGCCGAGGCCCGTGGATCACATCACAAGGTCAGGAGTTCAAGACCAGCCTGGCTAAGATGGTGAAACCTCGACTCTACCAAAAATACAAAAATTGGGGCCGGGCGCGGTGGCTCAAGCCTGTAATCCCAGCACTTTGGGAGGCCGAGATGGGCGGATCACGAGGTCAGGAGATCGAGACCATCCTGGCTAACACGGTGAAACCCCGTCTCTACTAAAAAATACAAAAAGCTAGCTGGGCGAGGTGGGGGGGCGCCTGTAATCCCAGCTACTCTGGAGGCTGAGGCAGGAGAATTGCTTGAACCCGGGAGGCAGAGGTTGCAGTGAGCCAAGATCATGGCACTGCACGCCAGCCTGGGCAACAGAGCCAGACTCCATCTCAAAAAAAAGAAAAGAAAAAATTGGCCGGGCGCGGTGGCTCACGCGTGTAATCCCAGCACTTTGGGAGGCCGAGGCGGGCGGATCACGAGGTCAGGAGATCGAGACCATCCTGGCTAACACGGTGAAACCCCGTCTCTACTAAAAATGCAAAAAATTAGCCGGGCGAGGTGGCGGGCGCCTGTAGTCCCGGCTACCCGGGAGGCTGAGGCAGGAGAATGGCGTGAACCCGGGAGGCGGAGCTTGCAGTGAGCCGAGATCGAGCCACTACACTCCAGCCTGGGCGACTGAGCCAGACTCCGTCTCAAAAAAAAAAAAAAAAAAAAAAAATAGGCCGGGCACGGTGGCTCATGCCTGTAATCCCAGTACTTTGGGAGGCCGAGGTGGGAGTATCACGGGGTCAGGAGATCAAGACCATCCTGGTTAATGTGGTGAAACCCTGTCTCTACTAAAAAAAAAAAAAAAAAATACAAAAAATTAGCCAGGCGTGGTGGCAGGCACCTGTAGTCCCAGCTACTTGGGAGGCTGAGGCAGGAGAATGGCATGAACCAGGGAGGCAGAGCTTACAGTGAGCCGAGATCGTGCCACTGCACCTCCAGCCTGGGCAACAGAGCGGGACTCCATCTCAAAATAAAATAAAATAAAAATAGAAAATGAGGGCTGGGCGCAGTGACTCACGCCTGTAATTACAGCACTTTGGGAGGCCGAGGCGGGCAGATCACGACATCAAGAGATTGAGACCATCCTGGCCAACATGGTAAAACCCCGTCTCTAATAAACATAGAAAAATTAGCCAGGTGTGGTGGCAGGCGCCTGTAGTCCCAGCTACTCAGGAGGCTGAGGCAAGAGAATCACCTGAACCTGAGAGGAGGAGGTTGCAGTGAGCCAAGATTGCGCCACTGCATTCCAGCCTGGCGACAGAGTGAGACTTGGTCTTAAAAAAAAAAAAAAAAAAAAAAAAAACCAACGCTATGTGGTGGGCCGGGCGCAGTGGCTCATGCTTATAATCCCAGCACTTTGGGAGGTCAAGGCGGGCAGATCACCTGAGGTCAGGAGTTCAAGATCAGCCTGGTCAACATGGTTGGCGAAACCCCATCTTTACTAAAAATACAAAAATAAGCCAGGTGTGGTGGCGCACACCTGTAGTCCCAGCTACTCAGGCAGCTGAGGTAGGAGACTCGCTTGAACCTAGGAGGTGGAGGTTGCAGTGAGCCAAGATCACATCACTGCACTCCAGCCTGGTCAGCAGAGTGAGACTCCATCTCAAAAAAAAAAAAAAAAAAAAAAAAAAAGATGGCATCTCAAAAAAAAAAAAAAAAAAAAAAAGATGGTATGTGGCACTGTTCCCGAGGGAGAGACACCTCTCTCCAAGGAATGGTGAGGGAAGGCCAAACCTCACAGGCTCAAAACCAGATGTGATAAGCTTGGGAGGAAGATTTATCGTCTCCTGCGACAGTCCTGTGCTATTGTTATAGCCAGATAGGAATGCAAAGAAAAATGAAGAATTCCACCAGAACGGGAGGGCTGAATGGCAGCGCTGTCAGGCTACACGGGAGCCCCGTGAGATGCCCGTTCTGGCTCTTTGTCCGGCAGCAATGTGAGAGGCAGGCAGTGGCCTCACGGCACCCCCGTTCACCAGTCCAGGGGGAATGTGACTCCTGGAGAAGTGCCAGCAACTGCCCTGCTATCTCTGCCACCGCATCAGGGTCCCCTCTGCCCGGATCCTGCTGTGAAGGGCTGTGTTTACCCATGTCAGTCTCCAGCTACGCCCGTGACTCCAGCGAAGGGCTGGTACACAGTAGGCACTCAGTCTGAATGCGGTGGCCATACGTGGCGAATGAATGAACCTCCACAGACCTCCCAGAATTTTCAGAACTCAGGTTCTGTTTCCTCAGACTTGCCTGCCCCATCTCTCTCTTCTCTCCTACTACTCTTTTGTTTCCAAGACAGGGTCTCATTCTGTTGCCTGACTGGAGTGCAGTGGTGCCACAGTCACTACTCCCTGCAGACTCACTCCCAGGCCCAAGCAATCCTCCTACCACAGCCTCCCAAGTAGCTGGGACTACAGGTGCACACCACCATGACTAGTTAATTTTTTAATTTTTTGTAGA